GCAGTGCCGTGGCCTTGTGAGAATTGGTGTGATCTGTTTTGCTGAGTAAACCTAGGTCTGGCCAAAGCGGGGGCCTGCAGGTAGATCATGAGAGTGCTAGCAATGAGAGCTGACTGTTTTTTTCTTGTTTTTTTTTTTTTTTTTGCTCTTTTTACATGCCAGTCAACATATTAGTCTATTTAATGATCTCAGCAATCCTGCAAGTACTTTTATCATTCCCATTTTACAGATAAGGAAACTGATGCTGAGGGAAGTTCAGTAATAAGCTCAAGGGCACACAAGTTAAGTGGTAGAGCTGGGGTTTCCTTCAGGAGTCCAACTCTACGTGCTAAGCCTTGACCATCATGTTCCTGGATACCCAGTACTTCATAGCACAAGTGAGTACAAATAGCTCTAAGAGCATACCATGCTAGGGATCAAGAAGGGTCCATGGGAATGCCAACCATCAGAAAGGGAAGCATGTGGGGCGCCTGGGTGGCTCAGTTGGTTAAGCCGCTGACTTCGGCTCAGGTCATGATCTTGCAGTCAGTGAGTTCGGGCCCTGCGACGGGCTCTGTGCTGACAGCTCAGAGCCTGGAGCCTGTTTCAGATTCTGTGTCTCCCTCTCGCTGACCCTCCCCCATTCATGCTCTGTCTCTCTCTGTCTCAAAAATAAATAAACGTTAAAAAAAAATTTTTTTTTTTAAAAGAAAGGGAAGCATGTACCATCCTGATAAGTAGTGGTCTTCAGTTTTTAGGGGAGAAGAGAAGCGAATGAGACAGATTTCAGTATCAGTAGTGGTTGGGAGCAGGTATGTTGTTAGAACAGCTGGAATGTTGTCTTCACAGTGGTCCACGAAACAGTTTCATAGCCTTTTTATTATTTTATTTTGTTTTATTTTATTTTATTTTATTTTATTTTATTTATGCATTCATTTATTATTTGTGAGAGAGCGCGCGCACAGTGTGGGGCAGGGGGTGGGCAGAGAGAGAGGGGGAGAGAGAATCCCATGCAGGCTCTGTGCTGTGAGCATGGAGCCTGGCGCAGGGCTCAATCTCACGAACTGCAAGATCGTGACCTGAGCCGAAATCAGACGCCTAACCGACTGAGCCACCAAGGGCCCCGTTATCCTTTTTTGAAAAGGCGATGTGGTGATTGCTCTAGGCCTAAAGTCTCTGATCGGCCAGACAGGCACCACTGTTGTCATTTTAATGTTCAAATCCAACATTAGTATCAATTGACTAGGAAAGCAGTAGTGATTTTTGTGTTCAGTAGATAAGTTTAAACAAATATTTTTGTTTTTGCTGTGGGAAACTATAATAAAATAGAACTAGCCTTCCAAACACAGGTTGCACTATATAATTAGTTAGATAAACATGGCTGTAGAAGTTGGCACTGTATGAACCTCTAACAAACAGCAGGGAAAAGAATATTGCAGTCATCTTTGGGTGAAGTTATAAGACCATGGCCGAAGGAACAGCCTTTCCTTAATGATAGTTTTATCTTTAGGCTTTAGCAAATATGTGACTTTACATACTGCCCTGAAAGAGTATTTTCAGATGAACATGGTCGGCAAGGATTTGACTTTTGACACCAGTACTAGAATGCACGGACGTGAAACCTCTTATTCGTTTAAGTTTTCTGAAGTATTGCCTTGATTTTAGGCAAACAGGAAACACAAATGGGGGCACAAAATAGAAGCCCGACTCTGAACGTGTTATACACGGAGTTTGGGTCTTTCTTGAAAAGGAGGGATTATCTGAAAAAAGATTGTTGCTTTTCATGTTCCATGTCTTCCAGCCTTTTTAGCGAACTGAGTTGTAGAGCGTCTGCTCAAGCCGGGTTTCTCCCTGGTGAGCCTTCTATGGCTCAACCATTTTATGCTTTTATGGAATTAGTATGCGCTACATCAGTGACTGAAAATAATGCTACAATAACACCCTTGCATAAATATCTAAGCATCAGTGAGGAGTCCCATGGGAGAGAAACTGAAAACATATAAATGCATTTGAATTTGATGAGCATTACGAAATTACACCACAAAAAAAGGCTGTTGTCGCCCTGTGTAGAGTGCTTTAGAGTGTCCGTTTCTTGGCCTTGTACTTTTGCCAGCACCAGATATCATCTTTTGCAATTTTTGTAATTGGTGAAAAATGGCTTCTTGGTGTTAATTATTTCTAGTTCCTCAATTACCCCGGATTGAGTATCTTTTGATGTTTCTTGGTGGATTTTCCCTCTTCCTTTTTTGAACTGTCTGTTCAAATATTTTGTGCTTTTCCCTAGTGGTCTTGTTACATTATTCTTAGAGCTTTGTAAGAGCTTTTAATATTATGAGTATTGATTTTTTTTTGAAAATATTTTCTCCCACTGTTCCTTGTTTTCTAAAGATCTTTATGATGTCTTTCGAAGTATCTAAGTTGAAAGATTTAGGTAGTGAAGTCTACCAGTATTCATATTTATGTCCTTTGAGTTTTGTGTGTTGCTTAGAAAGACTTACATATGTGTATATAGGAAGTATATTGCCAGTATGTGTGTGTGCACATTTATATATATACTATAGTTTTTTCTAGTGCCCTACGATCATAATTCAAGTCCTAATTTAATTAATTGTCTTATTAGCATGTTTTTTTTCTAATACTTTTCAAAGCTTTCTTTTATGCATTTTAGGCTTTCTGTTGTATATATAATGAAGAATCTAAATTTTGAGTAGCACATAATTTTACCTCCAATTGAAATGTCACCTTTATCACGTAATAAATTCTTATGGATGTTCATTTCTAGACTTTTGTATTCTGTTCCAGTTTGTCTATTCATGACATAGTCACCACAATGTTTTAATATCTATAACTTTATATTTTGATTTGCTACATTGTTTTCTTTGTGTTGTTTGGAATTTCTTGGCTGTTTTTGGTCATGTACTCTTTTAGTGAACTTTAGGAACAGCTGAGTAAATGTCCATTTGAAAAATCTCAATGGAGTTTTGATTGAAACTACACAGTGTATGTAGATCCACTAGAGAAAAGTGAGTAATCTTTCCAAGCAACTGTGTCTACTCACACAGGATCTCTGCCAGCATGTTATCAGGCACTGGTACCTCTAAAATGTTTGAGTTGCTCAACACACTCCCCAAGTCAACACTGAAGAAAAATATTTCTCTTCCCTGTCTTAATGAATGTTAAGTCCAAACCCTGTCTCACATTACCATTGAAATGAAACTACGACCCTCAAATGTCTGCCTGGTTAAGTTCTGGGTATATCATGTGAGAAGCTTTGTTGTCTGACTCTGAGGTGGTTCACAATGGGATATCTGCACAATGTCAAAGTATGAGAATTTTTCCAGAAGCCAAGGACTAGATTCATTAGGGTAGATTCATCACATTTTCAATGAAGACCAATTTTATTGGATTCTCTCTCTTTCATCTAAGGCTATGCAAACATGCCTACAAGAGCACCACCCAATCCAGTTAATTCTCATTCTGGAAAATTATCAGTAAAATTCAACAACAACAAAAAATCCCACTAATATGTTATTTAACATTATGCACATTAAATTATTAGATAAATTAATAAACTTTTCACTTCTTCTTTCCCTCCTTCCAATAATGCCTTAATTTATTTTTAAAAGATTGGAGAACATAGGTACCATTCTCTAAAGTATAGTTTTTACTTATTATTGTAGCATTGTGATTCTTACAAATTGCAAGCAATCTAAATGTTCAAGCAGCTTGGTAAATACATCTTTGTATATCCATATAGCATTGTATTATTCAGCATGTTAAAACAATGAAAGATTATTTGTAATATGTAACTGCATGAAAGGTTTAAGATATATAATTGAACAGAACCGAATCACTCTGTAGAATAGCATATATAACATGATCCATTTTTATTTAAAATAATTTGTTTATTGGGGCACCTGGGCAGCTCAGTCAGTTAAGCGTCTCTTGATTTCTGCTCAGGTCATGATCCCAGGGTGGTGAGATCAAGCCCCACACAGGGCTCTGCACTGGGCGTGGGCCCTACTTAAGATTCTCTCTCTCCCTCCCTCTCTTTCTCTCTCTTCCTCTGCTCCTCCCCCACTGTCAGAAAAATGTTCATTTAAATAAAGTAAAATAATTTGTTTATTAAACACACATGTAGGCATACCTAAAATATATGTAAAAAATAATCACTGGCTCTTGGAGTTGGGAAGTACAAAATTCATAGTCTACCTCATTAGTATTTATATCGTTTAAAAGTTTTACAGTGAACATACATGTTTTATAATGAAAAATAATTTTTTCGTTTTATAAAATGAAATTTTTAGATTATTTATTAATGATCTTACTTCCTACAATAACACTTTCTCATTGTCACAGATTATTGACAGATAGCTATGCCTCACAAATCATATGTTTTCTTCCATTACATCTCTGTACATAGAGTCATTTCAGGAGTATTACCATTATTACAATTCCTTGAAGTATTACTAAGTTTCTGTCACAAAACTAACTATATAAATTGCCCCATTTAATCCTCAAGACTGGGCTGGATATTGTCCCCATTTTACAGATACAAATGAATTTTAGAAATATTAAGTCACTTGCCAAAGTCCTCCAGCCAATTAATTAATCAACATAGTAGGGAATACAACTTTAATCCCTGATTCCGACCATGGGTTCTCCCAGTGTCCTACAAAACAGTGTCCATATGCAAATTAATAAACACAAACCAGAGAGACTTTTCAAAATTCAAGGCCATAATCTTCCCATATTTCTTTTGTAGATAAACCTGGCAGGGGTGTCCAAGGATCAAAATGAGTAAAGTGCACATCCACTGAATGACAAATTTATGGTATGACATGGGCACCTTAAATGGTCCTAATTCAGATCCCAGGTTAAGAACCACCACTGTGTCGTACCCTGAGAGACAAGGCTGCATATTCGCACGTATGCAGACATGCACACGCATACACCTGTATACTACACAACTGTTGTGCTGGGGTCCTTTTATGTTCCTCTGCTTTCTTTTCTGGTTTCAGCCTGTTATGTCCTACAGATGGAATGTTGTAGAACACAACCTAGACATCATCGAATGTGGCCATGAAATATTTCCAGTGAAAGTTTTATTTCTACTTCCCCACCATTCAGCTTCTCAATCTACTGGTCATGAGAAGTTACTTTGCTTGATCAGAATTTGAGTTGAAATTTTTTCAGAGAATAAAGAAAATTCCCAAAGGTAAGGTTTCTATTACTCTCATGATCTTACTGAATTATAGAACATTCAGAAAAGTGTAATAACCTTGTGAAATTGGCTTTTTGGCTATGTTTTATTCATCTTTGAATTCTAAATACTTGCATGGCATGAACTTGGTGCTCAATAACTCCTTTGAAATGGACTATTTCTATTTGTTGTGAAGGGAAATTTTAGAGGCTCTCTCAAGCAATCTACCCGCAACCTCCCCCCTTCCCAAATTAAGTGACTTGTACAAGGTCTCTTGCCTTTTTAATTGGAGAGCTGAAGCTAGAATCAAGGTCTTGTGTCTCCGGGACTCTCATCTTCTTTCAAACCATCACAACCCAGAATTGTTAAAGCAATGTTATATTTAATTGCAAAGAGGGCTCCAGGCTCATGGACATCCCTGATGACAAACCAGATCTTCAGTTGGGAAGTTCATGTGAATAGAAGTTCAAGAATGGAAATATATTTCAGTAGTTTGTGGCTTAGAATTGAGTATTTTTATGTTGACTTCTTTATATTAACTGGATTTCCATGACTCTGTCCCCTTGGATTGCAGTTGTAATTATGTAGCAGTTAACATATTCTCTGGGCCCAGCACATCCCATAATTAGCTGTGTTCTCTCCACAGCATATGACTCAACCCTGTGTGGTTCTTCTATATCAAAGGCAGGGTGACCAGAGTTTTTTAACCACAATACTTGAGCATGTAGTGGCAGATGGCTGCACAACCCAAGTGCATCGGGTCCTTTTGAAGAGCAACCTCACCAAAAACAAGCAAACAAACAAACAAAACCAGACCTTGAGATTTATTTTTGAAAAAAGGAAAGAACCTTCTTGGGGGTGTTTCCAAACACTGCATCATTTTAAAAGAAAAGCATGTCTTCTTCTTCTTCTTCTTCTTCTTCTTCTTCTTCTTCTTCTTCTTCTTCTTCTT